TAGGCAAGGAAGGGATGATTCTCCACTATCCTTTTTTCATAACCTCTTTGCACAAGGATCCATATTCTCTGAATAATAATTTGAAAGTCCTTTTATAAAAAACCTCAATAACATCTATGAAAACTAGGAGAAGTAGAAAAAAAAACTGTTCTTCCTTAGAGAAAGAGGGAAGAGTTTTCCTTTCTGCCTGGGGGGTAGGGTGTGTGGATGGTGAGGGGGGCTGATTATCATGTAACACAACGACAAACAGAAAGAATTTGGCTGCGTAGGATTTTCCAGTTGGCTTTAAAAGTGCCATAGAATATTTTGTTTCAAAATGTAATGGTCAATAACATGAAATAGTCACTAACATATGACTACAACTTATTACTGGCAGTCAAAAACATCCAAATTAAAATAATTAACTACAACATTCCCAATAAAATTAACAAAAAATAAAATATTATATATATATATATAAATATTATATATATATATATATATAAAATTGGGAAGGAAGCAGTAAATTAACTCTCATACACATTGTTGGTGGGTATCTAGGGGGCTATTTGGCAACATATAGGCATACCTTGTTTTGTGCTTCACTTCATTGCACTTCACAGATATTGAATGTCTGTGGCAACCCTGTGTCAAGCAAGTCTACGAGCACCACCTTTTCAATAGCAGTGTTCACTTCATATCTCTATGCCTCATTTTGGTAATTATTGCAAAACCCTTCATCGTTATATTTATTATGGTGATCTATGATCGGTGGTCTTTGATGTTACTATTGTAATTGTTTTAGTGCACCTCAAACTGCATTCATACAAGAAAGCAAACTTGATAAATGTGTGTATTCTGACTAACTCATTCCAGCTGCTCTCCCCTGTCTTTCCCTTTCCTAGGGTGTCCCTATTTTCTGAGATACAACAATATTGAAATTAGGCTAATTAATAACCCTACAATGTCCTGTAGGTGTTCAACTGAAGAAGAATAGTACATCTTTAACTTAGAATCAAAAGCTAAAAATGTTTTAACTTGGTGCAGAAGGCCTGTCAAAAGCCAAAATGGGGCAAAAGTTAGACATGTTGTTCCTGTTAGCCAAGCTATGAATGCAAAGGAAAAGTTCTTGAAAGAAATGAAAAGGGCTACTCCAGTAAACACGCAAATGATAAGAAAGAAAAACAGTCTTATTGCTCACATGGAGTAAGTTTGAGTGGTCAGGATAGAAGATCAAAGCAGCCACAACAATCTTTAAGCAAAACCCTAATTCAGAGCAAGGCCCTAACTCTCTTTGATTCTAGGAAGCCTAAGAGAAGTGAGGAAGCTGCCTAAGAAAGTTTGAAGCTGGCAGAGGGCTCATAAGGTTTAAGGAAAGATACTGTATCCAGAACATGAAAATGCAAGATGGAGCAGCAAGTGCTGATGCAGAAGCTGCAGCAAGTTATCCAGAAGCTCTTGCTAACATCACTGGTGAAGGTAGCTAAACTAAACAATAGATTTTCAGAGTTGATAAAACAGCCTTATACTGAAAGAAAATGCCATCTAGGACTTTCAGAGCCAGAAAAGAAAAAACAATGCTTGGCTTCAGAGATTCAAAGGACAGGTTGATTTTCTTGTTAGGATCTAGCTCAGCTGGTCAGCTGGTGACTTTAAGTTGAAGCCAGTGCTCCTTTACCATTCTGAAGATCCTGGGTCTCTTAAGAATAAGTCTGTCCATGCTCTATAAATGAAGTAACAAAGCCTGGGTGATAGCACATCTGTTTACACCATGATTAACTGAATGTTTTAAGCCCACTGTTGAGACTTACTGCTCAGAAAAAAAAGATTCTTTTCAAAATTTACTGTTCATTGACAATATACCTAGTCACCAAAGAGCTCTGATGGAGATGTACAGATTAATGTTGTTTTCATGCCTGCTAACATAACATTTATTCTGTAGCCCATGGATCAGGAGTCATTTCAACTTTCAAGTCTTATTATTTAAGAAACACATTTCATAGGCTATAGCTGCCATAGATAGTAATTTCTCTGATGCATCTGGGCAAAGTAAATTAAAAACCTTCGCAAAGTATTAACTATTCTAGATGCCACTAAGAGCATTCATGATTTCTGGAAGGAGGTCAAAATAAATAGCAACATTAAGAGTCTGGAAAAGGTTGATTCCAACTCTTGTAAATAATTTTGAGGGGTTCAACACTTCTGTGGAGGAAGTAACTGCAGATGTGGTGGAAACAGCAAGGGAACTAGGATTAGAGCCTGAAGATGTGACTGAATTTCTACAATCTCATGATATAATTTGAACACACAAGGAGTTGCTTCTTGTGGATAAGCAAAGAAACTGGTTTCTGGAGATGAAATCTACACCTGGTGAAGATGCTTGTGAACCCTGCTGAAATAACAAAGGATTTATAATATTACATAAACTTAGTTGATAAAGCAGTGTCAGGGTTTGAGAAGATTGACTCCAGTTTTGCAAAAAGTTCTATGGTGGGTAAAATGCTATCAAAATCATCGCATGCTTCAGAGAAATCTTTCATGAAAGGAAGAGCCAATTGATGTGTCAAACTTCACTGCTGTCTTCTTTTTAAAAATTGCAACAGCTACCCCAACCTTCTTCAGCCAGTACCTTGATCAGTCAGCAGCCATCAACATCGAGGCAAGACCAACAAAAAGATTATGACTCACTGAGGCTCATATGAGCACTAGTATTTTTTTTAGCACTAAAGGATTTTTAAGATATGTACATTTTTTAGACATAATGCTATTGCATACTTAATAGACTATAGTATACTGTAAAAATAACTTTTATAGGCATTAGAAAACCAAAAATTCATGTCACTTGCTTTATTGCAATATTAGCTTTATTGTAGTGGTCTGGAATGAAATCTGCAATATCTCCAAAGTATACCTGTACCAAAATTCTCTTTTCTTTTTTTGAGATGGGGTCTCACTCTATTGCCCAGGCTGGTCTTGAACTCCTTGGCTCAAGCAATCCTCCTATCCTCCTACTTCTGCCTCTTGAGTAGCTGACTGTGAGTGTCCACCACTGCAGCCAGCTCTGTAGCAAAACTCTTTTTTTTGAGATGGAGTCTCAGTCTGTTGCCAGACTGGAGTGCAGTGGCACAAACTCAGCTCACTGCGACCTCTAACTCCCTGGTTCAAGCGGTTTTCCTGCCTTAGCCTCCTGAGTAGCTGGGATTACAGGCACACACCACCACACCCAGCTAATTTTTATATTTTTAGTAGGGACAGGGTTTCACCATATTGACCAGGATGGTCTCGATCTACTGACCTTGTGATCTGCCTGCCGTGGCCTCCCAAAGTGCTGAAATTACAGATGAGAGCCACTGCGCCTGGCCCAAAATTCTTAACATTTTTTATACCATTCGACCTAGTGACAATTTTAGAGATTTGTCCCAAGAAAACATACAAAAATATATCTTTACAAGTATGCTTGTAGCCGAATTATCTGCTTGGAGAAAAATGGGAAATGACTTTAAAATGAGTGATCATAGGGGATTGGTTAAATTAAATTATGAGATACCATACAATGCAAAGTTTTATGAAGATGGTACTATAGAAGAAAGCATTATCGTAAACCAACAAAATAGGTTCATTTAAAATATAGTTGAAAAAAATAGCACATCCTCAAAACTAAGGCATTCTTGAACTCTAGAGTAGTGTTGGTCTTTGGAGTTAGCCTGTGAAAGACTGAATTCCAGGTCCACCACTTATAAACTGTGGCACCCTCAGCAAATTACTTAAATGGTGGGTAAGATTCAGTATTGTAAAAATGTCACCTCTTCCAAATTGATTTATACAGTCTCAACTGAAATCCTAGAAATATTTTTGTGCATGTGAAAATTGGCAAGCTGGCTTAAAAATATGTACAGAAATGCAAAGGACAAAGGACAGCCAAAAGAATCGTGATGAAAAGAGCAAAGCTGGAAGATTTATAGTACCATATATCAAGATCCATTATGAAGCTCTAACAATCAAGACTGTTATTGGAACAAGGAGGGGCAAATAGGCCAATGAACAGTATAGTCTCAAGAAACAGATCCATACATACATGGTCACCTGATTTATGAAGACGTGAGTCATACTGCTGTGCAGTATGGAAAGAACAGTCTTTAATAAATGGTCCTGGGACAGTTGGATATCCACATGGAAAAAGTGATTCTTGATCCCCGACTTCCCAGCAGTCACATAAATCAATTACAGATGTACTGCAGCTCTAAATGTGAAAGATAAAAATGAACATTTTGGAAGAAAACAAAGGAGAACATATTCATGACCTTGGAATTGGCAAAAAATTCTTTAAAAAAAATACTCATCTTAAATGGAAAATGTAATACGTTTGGAAATACTAAAATTAAGAACATCTATTTATCCAAAGACACCATTAAGGGAGTGAAAAGGCAGCCTGAAGTGTAGGAAAATACATTTGCCATATATCTTTTCAAAAGACTTGAACCGAGAATACATATGTACATATTAAAGCACATACAAATTAATGAGAAAAAGGCAGACGACCCGATAAAAAATGGGCCAGAAGAACTCAACAGACACTCCACAATAAAAGGATACCCAAGTGGCCAATAAACATATTAAAATGTGCTCAACTTTATCCATTAGCAAAATCCAATTTAAAACCACAGTGCAATACCTCTATAAACACACTAGGGTAGCTGAAATGAAAAAGATAGAAAATACCAAATGTTGGTAAGAAAGTGGAGCAACCAGAACATTCACACACGGCTGGTGGCGTGTAAACTGGAACAACTTCTTTAGAAAAAAAATCACTGGCAGTTCAGCTACTATAACCTAGCCATTATACATTTTATATATTCAACAGAAATCTGCACATATATTAATCAGAAGACACATATTGGAATGGTCATAGCAGTGATATTTCTAGTAACCCATGTTAGAAATGACCCATAGCCTGGGCAACAACCTGAAATACTGACTCTACAAAAAAAAGTTAAAAATTAGCAAAGTGTGGTGGTGCACACCTATAGTTCCAGCTTCTCCAAAAGCTGAAATGGGAAGATTGCTTGAGCCCAGGAGTTCAAGGCTGCAGTGAGCCATGATTACACCATGGCACTCCTACCTGAAAAAACAAACAAACAAAAATAAACTACCCAGGTGCTATGATGTAAATGTTGATATTTCATGCCCCCACCCCCCGGCTAAATTCATATGTTGACACTTAATCCCCAATGTGACTGTATTAAGAGTTGGGGTCTCTTAGGAAGTTATTAAATCACGAAGGCTTCTTTCTCCTCAATGGGATTAGTGCCTTCACAAAAAACACTGAAAGGTGCGTATTTGCCCCTTCCGCCATGTGAACACACAGCAAGGACCCGTCTTTTACGCAAAGAACAAGTCCTCATATTGCCTCATCAAGCTCTCATCACCAAATGCTGCTGGCACCTCAGGCTTGGACTTCCCAGCCTCCAGAACTGTAAGCAATCAATTTCTGAAGTTTGTTAATAACCTAGTCTACAGTATTTTTTAATAGTAGCTCAAGAGGACTAACACGCAAGATACCTATCAATAGTAGAATAAATTGAGGTATATGCACAGATTCACTATTAGATTTTTGTTATTGGGAAAAGGGCTGAGAGGTAGAGTGGGTATTGAAATATTCATTAATACTAGTGCCAACTTGGGTCTAGAAAATGCTGCTTCTACTCCTGTCCAACGAGAAATGTGTATAAAGCAAAGACTGTGTAAACAGCATCTTTCTTCTTTGACATATGTACTATTTGCTCCAAGATACTTTTTGTAACTGCTAGCTAAGGCTAGTTTGACCATGACCAAGTGACAGAGCTGACAAACTTGAATAAAAGTGCTCAGATAATTTTAAAACCAAATCTGAATATTTCAGTGCAACACATTTTTACATGTAAAAAAGTTGCCATAAAAATTGATATTATAGGGTGGGTGCAGTGGCTCATGCCTGTAATCCCAGCACTCTGGGAGGCCAAGGCAGATGGATCAACTGAGGTCAGGAGTTAGAGACCAGCCTGGCCAATATGGTGAAACCTGTCTCTATTAAAAATACAAAAAAAAAAAAAATTAAGCTAGGCGTGGCAATGCATGACTGTAATTCTAGCTACTTGGGAGGCTGAGGCAGGAGAATCATTTGAGCCTGGGAGATGGAGGTTACAGTGAGCCGAGATCACGCCACTGCACTCTAGCCTGGTGACATCTCAAAAAAAATTATATTATCCATGACTCTTTAGTGACATATAGCTTACATATACAAATTCTAAAGCAAGATAAGAAATAGGAATAATTCTAATTTTAAAAGTGTATGCACATATATATAAGCATAGATGTATAGTTAATAAATGACTGGAAAGCTAGACACTAAAATAGAACAGTAATCAATGTGAATAGAAAGCTTTTAATTTTCTTCTTTGTGTTCCATATTTTATAAATTTTCAGTGAAAGAAAATTTTTTTCTTTTAAAAATTTTTTAAGTTATGTTTTTATGTTTGGAAACAATCACAGACTTATAGAAAAGTTGCAAGTGGAGTAAAAGAAAGTTTATTTTTCTGAAGGAAGGTTCCATTTCAGAGGAAACTGTTGCCCTGATTCCCCATCCCTCCTGAATACTTGACGGTGTTTTTCCTACAAACAAGGACATTCTCCTACATAACCACAAGACAACTCTAAGCAACAAGAGATTTAACATCGATAATATTACTATCAACTAATCCTCAGATCTCATTCAAGTTTTGCCAACTGTTCCAATAATGTCCTTTATAGAAAAGCTCCAGTTCTGAATCAAGCATTACATATTGTTGTCATGTCTCCTTAGTCCCCTTCAGTCCAGAAATGCTACTCTGTGTTTGACTTTCAGGATCTTGACACTTTTGAAGATTACATGCCAGTTATTTTATAGCATGTCCTTCAATTTTGGTTTGTCTGATGTTTCTTCATGATTAGGCCGTTTATGCATCTGACAGGAGTATCACAGAAGTGACGTTGTGCTCTTCTTATTGCATTACCTGATTTCCCTTTGTCCATTACTGATGCTGTTGACTTTGATCGCTTAAAGTAGGGCCTGTCAGGTTTCTCCACTATAAAGTTACTATTTTTTCCTACTTGTATTTTGTGGAGAGGTACCTAGAAATTAATAAAGTTTAATTTCTCATTAAACATGTATGTTTTGTTTGTGCATATCTGTGTAATTTGTTTTATTCAATGGTGATATAGTTTGGTTCTGCGTCCCCACCCAAATCTCATGTGGAATTGTAATCCCCAGTGATGGAGGAGGGACCTAGTGGGAGGTGATTGAATCATCAGGTTAATTTCTCCCTTGCTGTTCTGTAAGAGTGAGTGAGTTCTCAAGAGATGTTTGTTTAAAAGTGTGTAGCACCTGCCCCTTCATTCTTTCTTCCTCCTTCTCCAGCCCTGAGGAGACGCCTGCCTTTCCTTCACCTTCTACCATGATTGCAAATTTCCTGAGGCTGTCCCAGCCATGTTTTCTGTATGACCTGTGAAACTGTGAGTCAATTAAACCTTTCTTCTTCATAAGTTACCCAATCTCAAGTAGTTCTTTATAGCAATGCAGAAGAGAAAAAACAAATGGATTATAATCTATATACTATATTTGTTTATTTTGATGCTCAAATTATCCCAAATTTGGCCTGTGGAAACCCCTTCAAGCTGGCTTCTGTGTCCTGTGTCTTTAAACACAATACCCATTCATTAGCTCACAGTTCTGCAGGTCAGAAGTCTGGCATGGCATGATTAGGTTCTTTGCTCAGAGTTTGATGAAGCTGCAATCAAGGTATTACCAGGGTGAGTCCTTTTCTAGAACTTTAAGGGAAAACCCATTTGCCAGCTCATTGTTATTGTCAGTCAAATTCAGTTACTTGCAGTATTGGACTGAAGTCCCACTTCCTTGCTCACTGTCAGTCAGGGACAGTTGTCAGTGACCACAGTTGTTTGCATTCCTCATGTGGCCCTCTACATATTCAAAGCCAGCCATGGATAATCACCTTCATGCCAATTCCTTCCCATGCTTTGGATCTCTAATTTTCTCTAGACCCAAATTTAAAGGGCTCTTGTGACAAGATCAGGCTCACTTGGATAATCTTCCCTATTTTGAGATCAACTATCAGGAAACTTAATTACATCTCCAAATCTCTTGCCATATAATGTAACATAGTCATGGCAGAGATAGCTCAACATATTCACGCTCCTGGGAGTTACACAGAACGTGTATGCTAGAGGGCAGGAAATCCTGGGGGGCCTCCTAGAATTCTACTATACATGTAAAGTACTAAAACAGTGCATGGCATATAGTAAGCACTATACATATATTAACTGTTATTATGATGTATAATTGAACAAATTCACAGATATTTAAAAAATAGCAATGTGACACCATATTTAAAAATGGCAATGCCAAGGGCATAGCAACATAACATTCCAATGAACTATTAAAGAAACAGACATTGGTATAAACTTCCGGCAATCGATTTGTTAAAATGTATATAGAAAGCCCAGTAATCCCATTTCTAGGAATTCATCCTAATGATATAATCAAAAGTATACACAAAGATATATAAAAGAAGATATTAATTATAGTTAAGCTTCTGTGGCATGTCAAGATATGTGTTAGCCTCTTGACATTGCTGTAGGTCAAACAAGGCTTCTGGCAACTTCTTAGGGAGCCCTAGCCCTCTTCCTGGAACGTGAGGGGGCCTTTTGGCAAGACAGGGTCTCTTGAAAAGCAAGAGATTATACCATGTTACCATCTGCCTGGTCGTGCCTATCTGCCAAAACAAGAGCGTCCTGGGAAGGAAGCCTCTGCATTGTCTCCCTGGTTTTCTGTGCTACAGCCTCATCCAAGCCCTAAAGTGCAAATAGTGGAGTCTGGCCTATCACTCCTAATGTGTTGTCCCCTTTATGCTAAATTGGTTATATTATACTGTCAGCCATGATTCCAGAGTATGGCTTTTGTTTGATTTTAGCAACAATATGAGGCATCCCAGAGTACACTGTACGCATCAGCGGTTGGGGGGCAGTGTGCGGAGTCGATGCAGAAGGTAATTACCAAGAGAGCAACTGCTGCATACATTATAACACCATAAAATAGCTGCTATTAGTACCATTTTACAGGTGAAAAAACTGAGGCTCAAAGAGGTTAAACAACTTGTTTAAGGATGCACGTTTAGAAAATGATGAAGCCATGTTTTGAAACAATTGGCTTCACCCTTTTTACCATACCAGTTATTGCTATTGATTTCTGAGACTGTGTATTTACTTTAAAAGCTCATCAAGAAGTGGTAATAATTAGTCTAGCTTAAGATCTACTGCAGTAAACATTGCTGCTTCCCTCTACATTAAGGCAAATTAACCATATGCAATGTGGTTGCAATGCAGGTTAATTTTTATCTTAAGTATTTTTTCAGCTGTAGTCTCCCCCAACTTAAATTTCAAATTAACACATGTACCACAAGTTCAGCTTGAACAATTTATCCCATTATCTCAACCCAAAGAGAGACACTCCAAACTCCATAATCTTTGGAACTATCATCTTTCCATAGATTCAACAACCAGGTTAGTTTTCTCTCTCTCATACTATTCTCTGATACAATTCTTGATTTAAAAAAAAAAAAATCAATGCCCAGGGCCCCTGAAGTCATTAAATTGTCTGTTTCTCCTTCAGGGATTTTCCCCTCATCCTTCCCACATATTCTCCTTCCCATACATTCTACCTTCCTCCATTATGCACAGAACTATCCAATCTGCATTCCCCTTTAATTTCCTCCCATTTCTAGCTCCAACAGTCTGCTGTATTCTTGTTCTAGCTTTTGCCAGTGAACCTCTGGCAATCAATTCAAACTCATGGTAACCTTCCAGCCACAGAGCAAATGTCTTTACAGGCACTACAAAAAATACATATATGGTTATGGAGTTTTGTGTTCTTTTGAAAGCTTTCTTTCCTTTCTTTCTGGCACGACATAATTTTACAGGCTCTTCTGGGTCTTTGCTGGTCACAGTCCAGATCAATTATCTTTCCA